ACTATCATATCTAAAATTGAGTTATTATCCTTCAATGATTAAGGTCAAATTTCTTGATGTGAAATCCATATCTATCCAAACGGAGCCTAATAAAGTTTCACACCATAAAATATTAACACTAAATCCCTACCCAGCCAAACGCAAATGGAAGATTGTTTCCAGTTCCCAATGGCACTGTAGCAATTGGTGGTGACCGAGGTAATTTGAGATCACAGACTACTCCAAGGAGCCAACCGGCTGTACCATCCCCACCAGCAACCTAGTGAAGTGAGTATATATTAGACATGTAAGAAAGGAAAACCACCTCACAATAGCATTGAACTATAGAGTCAACTCACAATTATTTTCAATCTCTTCTCAATTTCAGTGGCCAGGTTATCCTCTCTTTTCTTGTACTTCTCCAAATTGAAGTAAAGCTGGTGTAGCACCTTGTCAGGAGCCTTTTCTCCCAAATCAAAAACCTGAAAAATCATTCATCCCAACGCCAAACAAATTCAGAAACAGGTGCATGCATATCAAAAATCATGTATCCTATCTTAAAGATTTCTTCGTTCATATCAGTGCAATCCCATTCATCCAGTCACAAGAAAGAAATATATGGATGCAGATACCTGATTTTTATTAAGAAGAGTCTGATAAGTTTTCAGAAGTTCTCCCCCAAGCTGCCCACCACTTTTAGAATTGATGAATACTATCACAGGACAGGCTGGTATATGGGACGCTTCATCGACTTTTGATTCAGGTACAAGTATGTAATCAGGAATGTAGTAATCCTTCAACGTATTATCAGATTCAGGGTTACCCATTACTACTCAACTGCAGGATTAGAACAACTATGGCCATTAGGTTTGTGAATGTAGATATAGCTAATCAAGTTATGAGAAACATAAAAGCCACAACAATCCCTTCAGTAACTGTATAAATAATCTAAATGATATATATATATATATATATTCATCCAAGGTTTTACTTCAAAGATGCCTTGAAAAAATACAAATGAATACATTCGTCTGCATTTATGTGTATAAATATTCCTACAGATTGACTAAAATAAGAATCTCTTAAACAGGATGACAATGAATCAGAAAAGTAAAAGGAAGTTAGGGACAAGACAAAATTGATAACCAAGCATCCTACCTCATCAAATTTGAGTCACATCTTCAAAATTAAAAGAAAATTGTTCAAGAAACTTAAACCACATTCACCAAAATCAATTGTGCACAACAATAATTCAGCTAACCATCAGACAAACAAGGGCAGTTGTGAATCTTGTGATTGTCAATGCCAAATCTCGTACACTAAGAACGTTACCAAACAGGGTAATTGGATTGTGAAAAAAGAGAATCAAATGCGAAACAAAAGACTTTTAGACACATAAAATGACCAAGGTATCACAGAAGCGCCAACAATCAATACAAGAACCAGATTTCTCCTTTCAGTATTATAAGATCTAAAATCCATATACTCATTCTCAAGCATCAATCACAAAATTAGCATTTATTTAGCCTTTATTTGAGACGCCAATCTGTGCGTGCAATACAAAGAAAGAAACGATAATTTGCCTCCATCTCTCTTCATACGAATTATGAACTAATGTTCAGAAAAAACACCTCAAGTGGAGCAAGAAAAAGCAGACGATGATTTACCTGATGAAGATTTCACACGAAATTGAAATGCCGCAATCCAAAGCGAATAGAAATCCAAAAGAACTCAAGAATCAAGAGAGAGACACAAAAAACGAACGATGCTTTTGCCTGAAAAAGGTGTTCACGTATATAACTAACATGTAATGAATCTCATTGTTCTCTACTTCATGTCTTGCAATGCAAAATAAGTTTTACATCTAATAAGGCGCAACATGCACGTAAATACAAATATCATATCTATTACAAAGTTCGTTGTTTTGACTCTAAGGGACTGTTTGAATAGATGTGGATTTGAAATCAACAGATTTGAGGTTTAATGGATAAAAAAACAATACAAGAAGATAAGTTGAGATAAAAGATATAAATAGCTAGAAAGAAAATTCTTTGCATAATTTCAAATAATTAGTTTTATTTAGTTATTTCAAATCCATCGTGATAAAACTATTTAACTCAATCTTGAAATTCATAAGTACACTATCATATCTAAAATTGAGTTATTATCCTTCAATGATTAAGGTCAAATTTCTTGATGTGAAATCCATATCTATCCAAACGGAGCCTAATAAAGTTTCACACCATAAAATATTAACACTAAATCCCTACCCAGCCAAACGCAAATGGAAGATTGTTTCCAGTTCCCAATGGCACTGTAGCAATTGGTGGTGACCGAGGTAATTTGAGATCACAGACTACTCCAAGGAGCCAACCGGCTGTACCATCCCCACCAGCAACCTAGTGAAGTGAGTATATATTAGACATGTAAGAAAGGAAAACCACCTCACAATAGCATTGAACTATAGAGTCAACTCACAATTATTTTCAATCTCTTCTCAATTTCAGTGGCCAGGTTATCCTCTCTTTTCTTGTACTTCTCCAAATTGAAGTAAAGCTGGTGTAGCACCTTGTCAGGAGCCTTTTCTCCCAAATCAAAAACCTGAAAAATCATTCATCCCAACGCCAAACAAATTCAGAAACAGGTGCATGCATATCAAAAACCATGTATCCTATCTTAAAGATTTCTTCGTTCATATCAGTGCAATCCCATTCATCCAGTCACAAGAAAGAAATATATGGATGCAGATACCTGATTTTTATTAAGAAGAGTCTGATAAGTTTTCAGAAGTTCTCCCCCAAGCTGCCCACCACTTTTAGAATTGATGAATACTATCACAGGACAGGCTGGTATATGGGACGCTTCATCGACTTTTGATTCAGGTACAAGTATGTAATCAGGAATGTAGTAATCCTTCAACGTATTATCAGATTCAGGGTTACCCATTACTACTCAACTGCAGGATTAGAACAACTATGGCCATTAGTGGAACTCAATTTTCTCTTTAAATTTTGGAGCTAAACAAACCCGAATCGGATACTGCAATCTTTAACCTGAAGGCATCAAGCAAATATTAGTACTGTGCCCATATAGCCAGCAAAATGCAGTCTGCAAAAGTTAGGTACATATCACCTTCATTCATTGGAAGAAAAAACCAAAACCATATCCTAAAATTGATGAGGATTAAAATGTTTGCATCTATAAACATCTACAATACGATCATAATATCTCAACTCTAGCCCAAGTTTACAAGAATTTGTCTAAAGCAGAGGACATGCAGGGTTCACACCATGTTTCATATATTTCTAAACTACAATTTATTGGACAATAAATCAATCAACCGATTAAATGCACTACAGTTTTAAGACTAACAAATGAATAAAAAAAATGAAGAATTATAAACTAATTAAAACAGGGGATGCCAATGGTGACAGATGAACGCAATAAGAATTGTCTTCTTGCTGTAGCAGAGTATTGTGCCAGTTAAAGCTGCCACCAAAAGCACTACAAATTTATTATGGAACAAATCTGGAGAGGCTAACTAAGCTGAGAAATGTCAATCCCATCTGGTATTCGGAAAGTGTCAGCTGCCCCTAACTTCCTCTTCTCTTCCCAGTCTTCATCTTCATTACTGTCGTCCTCCTCATCATCATCCTGTATGCATGGGGAAGAAGGGTCCTCGACACTTTTGGATCGGCAATAAGGGGTGGCGAGCATGCTAACTTGGCCAAAGTGGGAGATTTCAACAACAACCGTGTCATCATCTACAGGGAGAGGTTGTTTCCATGGCTCCCCATCAATCCTCATGAATGTATGTTCAGCTGCACCCTTGTGAAACTCGAAACGAATTCTGTTTGCCTACATGCCAGAAAGCAAAATGATAATTTAAAAAACAAATAACATGAGCAACAATGAAAAAACTTCTTATCAGAACATTTGTGTTACAATATGCCTTCCATCTATTATAGGTGAATGCTAATGTAATAATATCCTGGCATCAGTAGGGACACCCAAGATTTTTGAACCATTAATTAGTTTTCAAAACCAGTTCATGATTAAATCCAGCACAATGCCTACCTGCGCAAGGCGAGTCCCATGTCCAGTTGGAGCAAACATAACGAGCCCATGCCAAGCATTTCTAAAACCAACCACCTCAATAAGGCCATCATCAACATATGGAGGAGTCAAGTCCCTCTGTCCAAAAAACAAGAGAGAAAATTATCAGGAATTTTTGGTCAAGACATGTTAGTGCTGGTGACGGACTTACACAGCCTATGTGCTCAGATCATATCAAGCAAGCAAATAAGAGAAGTCACATTAGAACTAACATAACGCATCTTCTTCCTATTCGGCACTCCCCAAGGATTGAGTCCACCAGAAAAACTGGGCAAGTTGAGGCAAACAATTGACCTGATGCTGCATAATGGAAACAAAATTTTCCGTAAAACAATTCACCAAATTGTTTGGGATCATCAATAGTTTTATTATTGATCCAAAAGATAAGGGAAAGAACAGAAAATTGCTTTTTCCATATTATGTATGACCACAGGAGGCATGGCATATCCCATGATAGCCACAAGGGTCCCTATGAAATTAAGAATCAGATACCAATTTGTAGATTGCCATGAGAGAGAACTATGGAGATCCAGGTAACTGCATATTGGACCAGAAATTGGCTGATTGTGAAGAATATTGCACAAACAAGGAATTAACTCTTCCAAGCCTCATGTAATAAACAACCTCTTACATGGAAAACTCCAAGTCAACCACCAAGAGATGTTAACAGTTGTGTTATAAAAGTGTTCTGTACGATATTAAACAAATACTTAAGCAACACGTGCATATAAATAGTTCTATCAGTCTTCAGATCAGTGCTCCAAAAGAGCACCAAAAAAAAAAAAAAAAAAAAAAAAAAAAAAAAAAAAAAAAAAAAAACAGCGTACAATTAGTAAATATTAATGTGTGTTTGGGAAGGGAAAAATTAAGTACATACTTAACCTTTGGTATAGTACACAAAGTGGTTGCCTGGAGACCACTCAGCCACAAGTTGGCAGGGTCTCAATTTTATTAATTTTTGGAAAAATTACCTTCTTTTAATAATAAGTATTTACACGAAATTTGACCATTTTTTTCTCTCTTTTTTTTAAAAAAAAATATTTTTTGGGGAAAAAATAGTGTATTACTTAGCAAAAGAATTATAAATAAAGCAGAGAACTTGTATTTGTGAAAACTTCAAAGAGCAATGTTGCAACAGAAGCATCAAATCATTGGCTTTGTGGTCTTCAACCTTGCCAGACATCTAGTCTAAAGACCACCAGGATTCGGCTGAGGCTAAAAGAAAACGAAAGCATTGCATATGGTCTAAGAGAAATTTTGCATTCATCCTACAAAATTAGAGAGATGAAAAGAAGGTATTTTTTCTTCCTTAAGGGTGAAAACAGTGCTGACCTACTTTTTTGAGGAAGCATAGTCAAGTGGAGACGAGCAAGCGAACAGCATTTTATATGTGCCCAAATGTATGTGTTCGATATTGGGAAAAACAGGTGAAGTTGGTCTACACAACTTGGTGAAGTTTTAGGTCAACACCTAGTTTAAGTTTCCAAACAATGATTTTGCAGAGACCCATCCCATTCTGGCATCTTCCCTTTCTCTAAGTATCATGTTAGATCTTGAACTAACCTCATTGTCTAATGAGTTATTCTAACACTGTTATCAATTTACCACCAACACATTCAAGTAATTATTTGAGCTAACACCCAGCTTAGGACATGCTAATTATTCTAGTTGTGCTGAAACAATATGAAAGTGAAGTTGTTGCACAAAATTATCTTTGCATTCAAGGTCAAAAGAAGCATTGCCAACAAAGTAAAAGTGAGACGTAACCATTGACATCACCTGCGGGGTATTTGAAGGTCTTCCCACTGACCCGGGCTTTTCATGATCTTAACCTTTACCAGCTGTGCTATATTCCTGTGAGAAGACCAACTTTTCTCATTAAAACCTTAACATTACTACCAAACAATGAGCCAGAAAATCAAATAGCTATAGTACCATAAGGTTCAAAATGCTTCAGGAAACTTAAAAATTTCAATCAAATTGGAAATATTTAGTTAGTTGAGACCTCTAAATCATACTAGAAGCAGATCCATGTTACAGTGGCACAATCAAATTCTTGATGAAATGCTTACCCTGAAGACGGATGCAAAAGAGAAGGATAAAACCATCCTTGTGTACACCCAAGCTTTAAATACGTTTTCTAATCATGCCAAGAAAAGAAATAAGAATAATCAATTACAACCATCTGATTAAAAAAAGATCGTGACAAAGCATATAGACAAGTTACAACAATACAATTCATAAATGCTCAAAGTAATGAGTCAGAAAATTAACTCGGGGGTGGATTTTATGTATTCAAACTTTATACACAAGTGAAATATGTGTGTGTGTGTGAGTGTGTATGAATAATATATGCAAATACCATGCCTAGTAAACCATCAATGCTATAAACATTTTATAGTAAACTTCATGACCCCATTATAAGGGAGCTAATATGCTCAAGTCCCATGCCTCAGTTTTCATGGACGCTCCAATATTTAAAATGGTATGAACTGGACACCAAATTTTCATCTCACATAAATAGTAACTATACAGAGACACATTCTCACCTAAATTAAAGGAAAGAACTGGCATCAAATGACTTCAAAATTCCACAGTAATCAAGGCACATTTCACACTACACCAAGGTAACTTAAACAAGGATTTATAACCAATTATACGATCATTGATCAAAATTGGTTTAGACAGAGAACATAGAACGAATGAGGGAAAGGAAAACAACATAGAAACATATATATATATATATATAGAGAGAGAGAGAGAGAGAGAATTTGAAGTATATAAACGGGGCCTTTTCAATAATTTAAATATTTAAAGGAGCAAATTGTGGGGATTTGTTGTAAAAAGAAAACAAAAGAAAGGTTATGTAAAATTTCAGAGGCATATATGAAATTTTACTGGGGCAAATTATAAATTTTTTCATAAGTATAGACGAATGGGTAAAATTAAATTTATCAAAACATTGAAGGGGGGACGGGGAGACAGCTGCCCGCTTTGGGGTCCATATGGCTCCACCGCTGAATGTAAAATGTGCCAAACTAATTCTAGAGGTTACGAACCCAATAAAACACTTCCTCACATGAAAAATAAAAGATTGGAAAAATAAGGGATATGGTAGTAATAATTAGTAACTAAGTATAACAAATAGACATAAATGACTTTCAGGTTTTGTGCATATGGTTATTCTCGGATAACTAACTTATATCCACAAACTTGAAGCTAGCATACATCCACGACTTCAAGGATATTAAAGAATTTCATTTTCTGAGGGAGAGATTAAATATTAAGAAAATATAATCTGAATTAATACAGGATAAAATGCTGCCTAATACTGAGAATGATGGTGGAAATTGTGCAGAGAACCATTCTTCAGAGATACAACAATAATGTTGCATCAGTTCAGGACACCATGGCTTAGATATACGGTTTTATGCAGAGGTTTATGAAAAATTAATTTATTGACTTATTTCTTTTGAATATAAATTAATAACTCATACAAATAAATGCTATACTAATTCAGCAAGATGAGTAAACTGTTTTTGAAAATTCAAAACCAAATAGAGTAGTATTGTGAAACTTGACAAGGCCATCAAATGGTCTAGATAATGCATCATCACCTGATTAACTAACTGATTTTTAAACTTGTCTGGATTTAACTTCCTCTCAGCATGAAATGCATATGATACTTGGGCATCCATCCCTGCACAGACAAAAAAAAAAAAAAATGAAAAGAAATAATAATAATTATATAAAAAAAAGAGCTCCAAAAACACCAAAGCAATAACAGATGATACTTATAAGGAGTCATCATGCTCTTTAACATGTTAGAAAACAAAAGGATAATCTTTATTAAAAAAATTTATCTTAGTGAAAGAAAAAATCGTCTTATTTTTTTGGCTTTTAGTAACCCAGGTTACGGAGAAAAAAAAAATGAAATCCTCTCTGAGTTACATTCTAAATTACAATGATAAAAAATTATTTGGATAGTCAGACTGAACCATTTCTAGAGGTGAGGCTTAAGAAATGTACGAAGATAAATTATTGAAGATCACCTTATTTCATGAGGGACTTTGTTTCACTCTCCTTGAAGAAACCAGGTTTGTGATTATGTAGATAACAACCAGCCTATACAAACATTTGTTGTTGGAATGTAGGAGGCCTTGGTTGACTCAAAGTTCAAACTATCTTTTTAAAAATAGAAAGATACTGTTTTAAAGCAAATGGCCTAGGTTTAAGGAAATCTTTTTTGTTTTGCAATCTTGAACTTTCCCCTAACTCAATCTCTAATTGAAGCAAGTGAAAGGCCTTATTCCTTACAAATATACATACCACACTTAGTAGTCATCTTTATGTGTAAATTGCAAACATCAAGTTTTCTCTTCACTTAATTTTAACCCCTCCACTCACCAAATCATATGCCTCGATTAGAAGATAGAAGGACCTTCAATGTTCTAGTTTACTATCTAATATATACTAATGAACATCCGAAGAATATAAATCACATTCCTAAATGTAAATGTAAATGACTTTTTGGTATGAACCTGTCAAGAATGCAGCATGACTAGAATGCAAGAGAACCTTCCTTTTTTTTCATTTGAATGGTAGATCATATTATTCCTCCAAAAAAGGCAATCCAGTGCACAAGACTCACACCAAAGAGGGGTTTGGGAAAGTCAAGATGTATGCAACCTTTATTAACATTGATTGTCCATAGTAGTGCATTTCTTGCACTTTTATTTGAGGAGAATCTATAATAACCTTGTAAACATAAAATGAGAATATAAAATCAACAAGTTCCAATATTCCTAAAGAGTTCAAAAGTTGCTTAACAAAGGATAAAGTATAAAAAGAATCAGACAACTTCAGAAAAGAAGTAACAGCATAAACCTCAGTTACATAAATCTCTTACCCATGCTGAAGTAGTTCCAAAATCCTCCGCGGAATGTGTGGAAACCATTCTGAAGGAAGCCAAAACATAATGTGTACACCAATTACGTTCATATGAAGCAAAGGTGCATCAAAAAGAATCAAACCAAAGTCAAAATTTATTAGTTCTATGACATTTATCTGATTCCTCTCGTTCCTATGAAGTTCTAGTTGTTGATGTTAGTTGGCAGAAATATCTTGGGGAGGAACTCAAAATAAGGTAACTGGAATAGGTGTGCTACGATAAGCAGCTTTGCGTGATGGAGTTTCAGATGAAAAATATTCAAATTCTTAGGAATTAAGAAGGTCATTAAATGGTAGGACTTTTGCATAGGTTTTTTTTGAAGTGCTGATTGAGTAGTAAAATCTTGAAGATAAATGAAGACTTGAAAGGTGGAGAAAAATGAAGGTTCTCCTCACATTCTGCAAGATATGGAAGTGCATAACATAGCTTCTCTGATTTAGTAGCAGCAATTTATATTTTTAAAAAGTACTCAAATGCAAAAAGAAAAATGGAAAGTTAGAAAAACGAAATGGAAGGAAAAGAAATAAAGAAAGAAAAAAATCTGTCACTGTTGGCACATAAATTTCAACCAAATATATGTTTAAATTTCAAATACAGTCAATGACACACATAGAGCCTATGATAGGAATATTGTAGGTAATCACTTCCTAAAAAGGATCAATATGATCCGTTGAAGTGCATAAATAAAACAACGTCATTATTCAAGATGCTCAAGTGACATGTGGAGCCTACGAAAGATGACACTTGTAGAGCCTAAAGCAAGGACACCACACAGGATGAAACCCCAAAGATCAATCCGTTTAATCAGATATACAATTAATCATATAGCGCTATCATTCAAAATTCAAATGACGCTATCGTTCAATTTGAAATTCAAATTGAGGATGAGGCATTCTTATCACCTGGATGGCCCTCTATAAATACGAGGACCATCACACAAGATCAGGGATCAGAAAATCAAAAGTGAGAAGATTAGAGAGAGAGAGAAAGAAATCAAGAGTTAAAGAAGTCGTTACAAGAAAGAAGAAAAGAAGCCTAGAGAACTTAAGAACCTACGCTACAAACGCAGAATGATGATGAATAGGTAAAGGGTTCCAAAACCAAGAATTGTACTTTGTATTCAAGGGTTCAAAGCCCATAACAATTTCAATAAAATATTTATTCTTCTTAAATTGTCTTCTGTTATTTATTTTGCTCTTCATTAATCGGAGGTTTCATTTATATAAAATGTGCAATTAACGATCTGGAATACAAATTGGAAATAGGAACCAGCTATTCAAATAATCAATACTGTTTAGTCCAAAAACTAAACAGTGGACATTTGTAACATAAAATTTTGAAATGTGTTGAAACACTTCATGTTTTAAATGTGTAGTTAACAATATAGAATACAGATCGAAAATAGGAACCTGCTATTCAAATAATCAACGTTGTTTAGTCCAAAAAAATAAACAGTGGACATTTGTAACATAAAATTTTGAAATGTGTTAAAACACTTCATGTTTCAAAATTTGTGTCTACAGTCACCTTGTTCAATGTGTCATCTTGGCTCACACGATGAAACGCGTGCAAAGAATGTGGTAGATCCACAGGTGCAATAGGATCACAAGCACCTTCTTTAGGAACCTTCATTCGCATCAAAATATGCCAGCTGAAACATAATAAGAGACAAGGAAGTCAAAACTTGAAAATATGACTTCACCAAAGTATAAGATGTTCCACTTAAGTTATAGCTAGTCCAAGAAGAACTATGCATATATATAACGAAAAAGAATAATTTTAGCCATCAAACAGGTGTGATCTCAAATATGAGTCAATGTCACATGTCAAAATAAAAGGTCAAATAAAATTTTCCCCAAACTAACATAATCTAAGCTCGCCAATCATGCCCCAACCCAATCTAAGTAAACTCACAACTGCAAATACAAGATAGACACTAAAAGACATTCTACATGCAATAAAAATAAGATAACAAGGGCGGATGAAAGATCAAACACATAAAAAATGGATAATATAAAATATTGAAAATATCAATAGCAGAGAAACATGGTATGGAGAAACAGGGAAACACAGAGAAAAAAGCTGTAGAAGCTTGGAAGGTTATTGAATATTGAAAATCCCAATGTATTTAAATTTTCAATAAGATTTCTACCTAGCAAAATATGGAAGTTGTTTTTTTTTTTTAAACTTAAAATTAATAGTAAATTAATATCTCAACAAGTTATCAATATTTTGACGAGTTATCAACAGGTTCTCTCTCTTTTTCTTTTTCTTTTTATTTTTCTTTTTTGGAAAAAAGAAAAAAATAGTAAAAATAAAAAATAAAACTGGTTACCCGCATCTTGCCTTCACCATTCCAGATATCTTCCTCTTCCCCATAGTCATTAAGTCTTAACATTGCCTTTTCATTTCAGTTTGCTATTTATAAAATACGATCACATTTTACACTCCCAAACAGCAGGGAAAAATGACAAACTAGGGTAGTGAATGTATATGTCATGATATATGGTGTCACGTATGAAAAATGCCCGACTAAGTAAATACTAAAATAGAATTGGCAGCTGACCCAAATGGCTAGGTTTTTGTTGTGGAACTCAAGGTGTGATAATAAATTCTATGCTTTTTTTCATGAAACTTCCTAAAATTTGAGAAGTGCAAAACTTGCCAAAATCCATATATAACACCCATGCATTACAAATCAAGACAGCTTGCCCATCTTATCCATGTGTTGGCCCTAAAAATCACCTTCTTCAATTAAAAAATAAAATAAAAGTCATGTGAACTTAGAAAATTTCAAAAGAAAAATAGTGGAATATTTCCATCTCAAGTTTATCAGTAACCAAATATATAAAAGAGACATTACATGTCATATACATTAAAATTTGGGTATTACAACCTCATCCAACTTAAGTTACATCTTAATCTTTTACAGCATATGCAAATCCATGCACATTAATTGGACATAATAAAATATATATAAACATAAATATCATATGATCTACCTTTAAATGAGAGTATATTTAGGACCCAGAAAGCTACATTTAACAGCATAGTGGATAGCAATGCCTGGAAATGTGCTTGTTACAAGATGTAATAATATAAATCATATACGCAGACTAACAGGATGCAATAATATAAATTATGCAGCTATGGGGTTCACATAAATTTACTACTTCAACATTAAATGAGAGTATATTTAGGGGTTGTTTGGGGTATCCTAAATAAGTGCACTTTTTGTCTTTTTAGACTAAAAAGTTGATGTTGAAAATATGAATGTTTGGATTAAGTTTTTGACTTTTTATGGAAAAATGTGTATTAAAAAATTGTATAAATTAATGTGTAGGGGAAAATTAGTATTGAGAGTTGTGCAGTCGTAATTGTTGACTTTTGGTGAATAGTGATAACTTTTTAACTTTTTGAGTAACTTTTTGGCTTTTTGACTTTTTTGAGACTTCCCAAACTTGGCCTTAGGACCCAGAAAGCTACATTTAACAGCATAGTGGATAGCAATGCCTGGAAATGTGCTTGTTACAAGATGTAATAATATAAATCATATACGCAGACTAACAGGATGCAATAATATAAATTATGCAGCTATGGGGTTCACATAAATTTACTACTTCAACATTTTTAGGGACAAAAAAAAGGAAAAAAAGAAAAAGAAAAAGCAGATCAGAAAAGATATTCTCTAGAGAATATCAATTTAGTACATCAAAAGTGAAATTGCAAAAACAAAGGAAAAATACTTTACCTGTCAATTTTCATCTCTTTTGCAATCCTTACTTGATCCAAGAATGCCACTACAGACAGACAGTCTGTGTCAGGATTTTTCTTTCCCTGTGAATCAATAGAAAGTATGTGTTATGTATGTCTCTTTTTATTTTAGAGTAACTGATGAATTTGGTACTGGCCAATATCAAGAACAAAACTTAATTTCTCAAAATAGAGGCCACCAATGCATATTTATAAGTGAACTAACATGTAATGAATCTCATTGTTCTCTACTTCATGTCTTGCAATGCAAAATAAGTTTTACATCTAATAAGGCGCAACATGCACGTAAATACAAATATCATATCTATTACAAAGTACGTTGTTTTGACTCTACGGGACTGTTTGAATAGATGTGGATTTGAAATCAACAGATTTGAGGTTTAATGGATAAAAAAACAATACAAGAAGATAAGTTGAGATAAAAGATATAAATAGCTAGAAAGAAAATTCTTTGCATAATTTCAAATAATTAGTTTTATTTAGTTATTTCAAATCCATCGTGATAAAACTATTTAACTCAATCTTGAAATTCATAAGTACACTATCATATCTAAAATTGAGTTATTATCCTTCAATGATTAAGGTCAAATTTCTTGATGTGAAATCCATATCTATCCAAACGGAGCCTAATAAAGTTTCACACCATAAAATATTAACACTAAATCCCTACCCAGCCAAACGCAAATGGAAGATTGTTTCCAGTTCCCAATGGCACTGTAGCAATTGGTGGTGACCGAGGTAATTTGAGATCACAGACTACTCCAAGGAGCCAACCGGCTGTACCATCCCCACCAGCAACCTAGTGAAGTGAGTATATATTAGACATGTAAGAAAGGAAAACCACCTCACAATAGCATTGAACTATAGAGTCAACTCACAATTATTTTCAATCTCTTCTCAATTTCAGTGGCCAGGTTATCCTCTCTTTTCTTGTACTTCTCCAAATTGAAGTAAAGCTGGTGTAGCACCTTGTCAGGAGCCTTTTCTCCCAAATCAAAAACCTGAAAAATCATTCATCCCAACGCCAAACAAATTCAGAAACAGGTGCATGCATATCAAAAATCATGTATCCTATCTTAAAGATTTCTTCGTTCATATCAGTGCAATCCCATTCATCCAGTCACAAGAAAGAAATATATGGATGCAGATACCTGATTTTTATTAAGAAGAGTCTGATAAGTTTTCAGAAGTTCTCCCCCAAGCTGCCCACCACTTTTAGAATTGATGAATACTATCACAGGACAGGCTGGTATATGGGACGCTTCATCGACTTTTGATTCAGGTACAAGTATGTAATCAGGAATGTAGTAATCCTTCAACGTATTATCAGATTCAGGGTTACCCATTACTACTCAACTGCAGGATTAGAACTATGGCCATTAGGTTTGTGAATGTAGATATAGCTAATCAAGTTATGAGAAACATAAAAGCCACAACAATCCCTTCAGTAACTGTATAAATAATCTAAATGAAATATATATATATATATATATTCATCCAAGGTTTTACTTCAAAGATGCCTTGAAAAAATACAAATGAATACATTCGTCTGCATTTATGTGTATAAATATTCCTACAGATTGACTAAAATAAGAATCTCTTAAACAGGATGACAATGAATCAGAAAAGTAAAAGGAAGTTAGGGACAAGACAAAATTGATAACCAAGCATCCTACCTCATCAAATTTGAGTCACATCTTCAAAATTAAAAGAAAATTGTTCAAGAAACTTAAACCACATTCACCAAAATCAATTGTGCACAACAATAATTCAGCTAACCATCAGACAAACAAGGGCAGTTGTGAATCTTGTGATTGTCAATGCCAAATCTCGTACACTAAGAACGTTACCAAACAGGGCAATTGGATTGTGAAAAAAGAGAATCAAATGCGAAACAAAAGACTTTTAGACACATAAAATGACCAAGGTATCACAGAAGCGCCAACAATCAATACAAGAACCAGATTTCTCCTTTCAGTATTATAAGATCTAAAATCCATATACTCATTCTCAAGCATCAATCACAAAATTAGCATTTATTTAGCCTTTATTTGAGACGCCAATCTGTGCGTGCAATACAAAGAAAGAAACGATAATTTGCCTCCATCTCTCTTCATACGAATTATGAACTAATGTTGAGAAAAAACACCTCAAGTGGAGCAAGAAAAAGCAGACGATGATTTACCTGATGAAGATTTCACACGAAATTGAAATGCCGCAATCCAAAGCGAATAGAAATCCAAAAGAACTCAAGAATCAAGAGAGAGACACAAAAAACGAACGATGCTTTTGCCTGAAAAAGGTGTTCACGTATATTCATATGCAGAGAATAATTTAACCCACAGATACATACATATATATATATATATATGATGAGAGAGAGAGAGAGATTAACCTGAGGAATATGTGGAGAGAGATTCAAAGCGGAAAGTGTTTTGAAAGGGATTCGAATATTTCTGCGAAATTGAGAATCGAGATCGCGGTAACGGGGAGGTGGAAAACGGAACGCGTTTCGCAGAAAGGAAAGAAGGAAGAAAGGAGGAGGAAAGTGACATTATTTGCACAATTTTGCATTGTAGTGTCGCGGGATCCAAGAGGACTAGGACAGATTTGATTCAAAAACCTGACCAGCATCGTTAACGTTATCGTTATCGTTGTGATGGGATCGTTAGCTAGGGGTGGGCGCGGGTCGGTTGCGGCCACGAAACCTCCAATCCGCCATCCGTCCGCCAGATTGGCGGATTGAAGAAAATCAATCCGCATCCGTCCGCCAATCCGGCGGATGTGGATTGAGCGGATTGGCGGTTTGGCGGATGGATGCGAATCGGTTTGGCGGTTTAAAATTTTATAAATTTTCAACATAATTCAACTTGTGCACTGCTTCGGCTTAAAAAAAAAAAAGAAAAAAAAAAGTATTACAGTCAATGACTTAAAAAAGTATTACAATCATTGTATGCCTTATCCAAAGAAAGAAAGTTTGAAACTTTAGAATATCACGATCACTGTTATGCTTCATCCACATATACAATTCAGCATGATTCATCCCTATAAAGTATTACAAATCTGTGATTCTAAAATATAATAACAATTCAAACCACCAAAACCATAAACAGAGCAAAGTATAGAGATTGAATGTCTATTATTAGTTGTTACATCTACAAATGTTCTTTTGAAAAAAAAAAACAACAACCAGCATATATCATATTTCTTTATTTATATTTTAGAGTTAGATTTAAAAACCTAAAAAATATATAGCAAATAATATGTTATTTTCTTTCAATTCAAAAAATATTTCAAGTTGAAACTTTTTTTTCAACAAATTTTAAACTCTTTTTCATTGCAAAATACAACACATAATATTTAAACAGAATATTTAAACTCTTTTTCAATTGAAAATACAAACATAATATTTAAACAAATTGAAAATACAAAGTCTTATGAATTACTACAGGTGCTCGCGATTTTGCGGTTTGGCGGTTCGGTTGCGGCCAAAAAATCTCTCAAATCGCCATCCGTCCGCCAAATTGGCGGATTGGAGAAAATCAATCCGCAACCATCCGCTCATCATCACGCATCTGTCCAAAATGCGGCGGATCGGTTCGGTTCGGTCGGTTTTGGCGGATCGGTATATCCGCTGCTCACCCCTATCGTTAGCTACGCGGCCGTGGGCAGTGTAGTAGTCACCGTGACGTTTTTAGTGACTTCATCAATTGTGAGGCATCCCACGTGAGAATTTCTCTTTTTTTTTTTTTTAATTTTCATAAAGCGGAATTACACGCAGGTGGGCAAAAAAAAAAAAAAAAAAAAAAATTATGTATTTTTTCTAACAAACTCCCTAGTAGATTACCTAAATTTTATTTTAAAATATTATTAAAAAATTCATTTCTTATTTTAAAAATTATTTTTTTATCTATTTTTTCTGACAAACTCTCTATTGTTTCTCTATTCTATTAAAATAATCTTTTTAATTACTTTTAAAAAAAATTTAATATATAAAAACACATGCCAACCAAACATCAACAAGCAACAACAAAGTTGCAGAGGAAAACAAAGAATGGTGGACACCAGTCGGTCAACCAGTCAGGCTAATTTTTGGACATTTTCTTTCTTCAGCTACAGGACACTTACGAAACATCTAAAGGGACATCCAGGAGGACATCCCCTGTGTGCATTCAACGAAATAAAATAAGAATTTATGAGTTATGAGGGAGCTATAATGGCTCCTTACAAATAAAGAATCACTGTAGCAACACTTATATTTGATGGGTTAGATAAGGGATTTGCTGGAGAAGAATTTCTGAATAATTAATCTTTGCTATTATAAAGAAGCTGTTACGGATGCTCTAAGTGACACTTGTATCTAGGGGTATGCGCAGTGCAGTTCAAACAGTTTGAGAATAAAATTATATATCGAATGGTAGATTGGCAAAATCGCGATTTGGTGATTTTGGACGAATTGGTGAATAGAAAAACATTCTAACTAATTATCAAACATTTACATAATATATAACATTAATTTACATAATATATAACACAGTGCTTCCCTTTTGCATTAGTCAACCTTCTATTTGACATGTAACTTTATAGAGATATGTCCAATTTTGGAGTTAATAATAATGTAATTTGGAGTTGAGTACATCTCAATCTCAATTAAACAGTGGACGTTTTATTTCTAGGTTGTCTGTAGAAAATTTGCCAAAAATTTACCATATAGGTTTTTGTTTTCAAGCTTTTTTTTTTCTCCTTCCTTGAAAGTTCAAACATTAAGTTTGGATGCGCTTTGATTGTTGGAAAACTTTGTTCTTTACCTGCTCGCAAAACTTTTTGCTTTATTGTTGACTGTAAATGAAATAACATAACATCAACTTAAAGATCGCATAAACACGTAATTAAACTAAAATAAAACTATTTGGGTGTTAATTGAATTTCATTTGAAAACTCGACTATGTTCTTATAAAGTTTAATTTCAAATCTCTTCATAATTGGAAACTCCCACAGCTTCTGTGAACTTAGATGTTTTTGAGTTTGTTTCGTGATAGGTCACCAAAACTCAAAAATAGTTTGTTGCTTATGCCATTTTCTTAGTATAGAAACAGGAATTTTCAGGTTGAAGGCATAATTTAATCACTATAATTGATAATTTATTTTTAAGACAAAAAGGGTTGAGATTACATTTATATTAAATTAATAATTCATAATTGATAATTGATAATTTATTAAATAGTATTGGGATTACAATTATATTCTAATTCCAACATTATTTATATCGTGCATTTAGGCACGGGTATACGCTAGTATATATATATAACACAAACTAATTTTACATAATATGTTTCATATATATAACTATTAATTTTTAATAAATTTCACGTATTAAATCTCTCTCACACTCATTTTTACTTTGATATTTCATTAGAGATTAAAAAATATATATGTATTAATTATAGTGGAGCGGAGTGATTTGGAAGGCGGACTATAAATTTAAAGTTTAATCCACGATTAGCAGATAGAACGGTGTGAATTGATGCAAATCGGTGCAATTTTAGTAGATTGGGCGGTATTTTGCACAATTTTACTTGCATCTTCATAATCTTTCATTTGCACTCCATGTGTTGATAATTTTTTTTCCCAATCCTTCACCTATATGTAATTTCTCAATGCCTTCGCTTGGAATGTGGGTTGGCTTTTTGATTTTTTAGTTATTTTAGCCCTGGTGCTAAAAAGTTTCGTTTATGATATATTTTTGACTTTTTAAATTTTTGTGAGAGAAAAAATAAAATGATTATAATTTGAATGTAACATTTTATCTTATTAAACTAAAAAACTTATTTTATTTTTTAATGAGTAAAATAGCCCCGATCCCCAAACGAACCCAAAAATAATATGAAAACGCAACCAAATAACCATGACAATTTTCAAGAAACATGAAAATGTGGTGTGAAAGTTACTAAGGCCCGTTTGGGGATTGGGTAATTTATTTAAATTTTTATTTTTTTATAAAAGATATGAAAAAAAATTAGAGAGAGTGGCGTGATAGTATACAATGACCTTTTGTCTTTTTAGCTAAAAACCACACTCTTCAAATATGAAGGCCTTGTTTGGTTTGTATTTATGAAATAATTTTGAAAAATAATTTTCTAAAAAGAATTTACAAAATTTAAAATTTTGTTTGGTTGTATGTTTTGAAAATAATTTTGGAGTTAGGAATAATTAAAATTTTTATTTATTTATTTTATTTATTTTTATTTTTTATAGTTCAATAGATGTGTATAAGAGAAAAAATTATTAATTGATTTATAATAGAGAGAAAAGTATTTTTAAATTTTTTTTATTTCAAAAAATTCAACCAATTTTTTTTTTTTTAAATTGTTTCTCAAAAAATGCCATCTCTTGAGACCAACTAAACCAAGCCGAAGTGTTTTTTTGAGTAATGTTTCATCATTCTCGATTAGTAATTATTATTATTGTTTTTTCTTAAATTGATAGAAAATTATTTGTGAATTCAACAGCATATGCTCACAATTACAACACCAACAATCACGCCATCAATATTAAAAAAATAAAAAAATAAAAAATTTAAACAGATATCTTTAATGAGAAAAAAATTAATCTGTCTTTCTTTGTATTTACAAAAAAAATGTACTACTCATTTCTTACCTTTTCAACTGAGGTCTTATTTGGGAATATGTTATTTTAGTAATTTTTTAATTTTTTGTTAAAATATGAGGTGAAACAATTAGTATATTTGGAATAATTTTTTAATTTTTTACAAAAATATGTGTAAAAAGTAGAGAGAAAATGAAATCTTTAATTTTTGGTATATGTTATAGGTTTTTTGACTTTTTTAGTAACTTTTTGACTTTCAGACTAAAGGTGTTACATACCAAACGAGGCCTAAGAGTGTAAAAAAATATTCGAACTGAACTAGATATGATTCATTTGGAGTTAACTAACAAATTACTAACTAAAAATGAGCCAATTAGTAGTAAAAAAAAAAAAAAGTTAGTTTGAAAATCATTAATTTCAAATCACTTAATTATTTAATGAACTAATAAAACAACTTAAAGAGTTGTTAAACAAAGTAATACTAGACACTCTAAAAAAATTACTAGAATTTATACTAAATGTCTCATATGTAGGGCCGGACCTGAGATTTTCGAGACCCAACGTAGAGTCTTAAAATTGGGGCTTTCATGTATAAATAATAATAAAAAATCTTTTATTTAAATTTTTTACTCTAAAAATATATAATATAAATTCAAAATTAATGTAATGCGAGTAATACCTATAATGAGTGAAATCTATATATATATATATATATTATTTTGATTTGGTCTTAAGAGAGAAACATTTTTTTATCAAATTTAGAATTCATCAAATTTAAATTTGATGAAAATTTAAAAAGACATTGAAGATAATTTTTTTCATCAAATTTGATGAAAAGGGAAACTTAGAATATGAAGAGAATTTTTAGAAAGATTTTTATGAAATTTGATAAAAGAGTTAGAAAAAATTCATATCAAATCAAAGCTTTTTACTCAAATCTATAATCAAATTAAATTGGAAAAAAATGAAGAGTTGGATATGCTCTAAAAAC